TGACAAGAAGCAGATGTGGTCAAGCATCAAAAAGAGCTTGACGGCCGGCGCCGCAGCTCACTAGGCTAATCCTCCGCCTTGCGGCGCCGGCACACCGGGTTCTAGTCCCGGTCGGGGCGCCGGATTCTGTCCCGGTTGCCCCTCTTCCAGGCCAGCTCTCTGCTGTGGCCAGGGAGTGCAGTGGAGGATGGCCCAAGTACTTGGGCCCTGCACCCCATGGGAGACCAGGAGAAGTACCTGGCTCCTGCCATTGGATCAGCGCGGTGCGCCGGCCGCGGCGGCCATTGGAGGGTAAACCAACGGCAAAGGAAGACCTTTCTCTCTGTCTCTCTCACTGTCCACTCTGCCTGTCCAAAAAAAAAAAAAAAAAGAGCTTGACAACAGTTTCGGGGTGTGTGTTGGGGGGAGTGCAGAGGGATTGGAGGACAGTAAGTAACCACTCTAGAAATAGCTCTCTGGTACATGAGATGGGAAGAGAAGGATTTTATGCAGCCTGACTCCTTGAAAAGTTCCCCATCTTCTTAACCTGTCACAACCCTGCCGTTGTTTAAAGCCCAGCCCGAATGTCAGCTCCTTTAGAAAACCTTGCTGAGTCACGGGGAGGATTGTGCCATCCTCCACTGCTTTCCCAGGTGCATTAGAGGGAGATGGATCGGAAGTGGAGCAGCCATTACCCGAACTAGCGCCCGTACGGGATGCTGGTATCGCAGGCAGCGGCTTTACCTGCTACACTGCAACACTGGCCCCATTCAACCATTTTTACTTTTTCAACTTTAATAATCAGAATATCTATCTCTTGCAGACCTAAAGAAAGTACTAACATCTCTGTTGGAATAATATTAAAGCTACTTCTCTTTAAGTATAAAAATATTTCTTGTTTTTAAAAAAGATTGATTTTGAAAGAGTTAGAGAGAGAGATGGAGAGAGAGAGAGATCTTCCATCTGCTTGTTCACTCCCCAGATGGCTGCAATGGCCAGCACCGGTCCAAGTGGAAGCCAGGAGCCAGGAGCTTCTTCTGAGTCTCCCACTTGGGTGGCAGAGGCCCAAGTACATGGGCCGTCATCCACTGCTTTTCCCAGGCCATTAGCAGGGCATTGGATCAAAAGTGGAGGAGCTGGGACAGGAACAGTGCCCATGTGGGATACCGCCATTACAGGCAGTGGCTTTATCCACTAAGCCACAATGCTGGTCCCCAAGCAGTTCTTTTATCAAATGTTTACTCCTCTCTTACCAGTTCTATTAAAGATAAGGGATGGGCATTAGTTAAGGCCCCACATCCCACCCTGGAGTGCCTGGGTTCTGTTCCCAGCTCTGGCTCCTGTTCCTGCTAATGCAGGAATCAGCCTCCTGCCGTGGCAGACCCTGGGGAGGCGGCAGGGATGACTGAAGTGCTGCGTCCCTGCCCATGCACGTGGAAGACCTGGGTTGAATCCCAGGTTCCCGGGTTCAGCCTGGTCCAGCCCAGCTGTTGTAGGCATTTGGGGAATGGATTAGCAGACAACAGATGTCTGTCTGTTTGCCATTCTAAACACATACATACATAACTCTCTGCCTTTCAAACAAAAAAAATAGATAAATAAACAAAAGTGTGGGTGTTGTGGTGCTGTGGTTAAGCCACCACCTTGGGATGCCCGCGCGCCGTATCAGAGTGCCTGATCTCATCCACTGCACCTTTCTGATCCAGCTCCCTGCTGATGTGCCTGGGAAGGGGTGAAAGTTGGCTGCAGCTGGTTCTGTCCAGTTCTGTCAAGGACCTTGGGAAGACAGCTTAGCAGATTCGCTAGCAAAAGCAACTGTGCAACAGGAAGGAAAAGAACTATTTGTGTTGTTAGAATGTGGGGCAGCCCTGGCAGCCGCTGTTGCGCTAGGGCATAGGGATTGTCGAGGTCGACTGCAAGAGCTTATCTGTTTTCAGTGCTGAATAGTATTCCGCTGTCTGTCACAGTTTGCTTATCCATGGTGACCCACAGTTGTGTGGCTGAACGCGAAAGGGGATAATTTGTGGTGGGAGAGGCCCTGTTGCTGAATGCGGATGAGGGCTGGTCCTGGTCCTTAGGTCTGGGGGAATAGAGGCACAGACCTGAGACCCCACTTTAAACCGTGTTTCGGCCGGCGCCGCGGCTTAATAGGCTAATCCTCCACCTGCGGCGCCGGTACACCGGGTTCTAGTCCCGGTCGGGGCGCCGGATTCTGCCCCGGTTGCTCCTCTTCCTGTCCAGCTCTCTGCTCTGGCCCAGGAGTGCAGTGGAGGCTTGGGCTCTGCACCCACATGGGAGACCAGGAGAAGCACCTGGCTCCGGGCTTCGGATCAGCGTGGTACGCCGGCTGCAGCGGCCACTGGGAGGTGAACCAATGGAAAAAGGAAGACCTTCCTCTCTGTCTCTCACTGTCCACTCTGCCTGTCAAAAAATAAAATAAAAAATAGAAAATAAAAAAAAAATATTTCAGGGTGTAACATGCATTCCAACACTGAGTTATGCAAACTTCTGCACCTTAGCTTACTCACTTTGTTTTTTAAGATTTATTTTATTTATTTGAAAGACAGAGTTACATAGAGAGGTAGAGCCAGAGAGAGACAGAGAGGTCTTCCATCACTGGTTCATTCCCCAGATGACCGCAATGGCCAGAGCTGAGCTGATCTGAAGCCAGGAGCCAGGAGTTTCTTCTGGGTCTCCCACATGGGTGCAGGGGCCCAAGGACTTGGGCCATCTTCTACTGCTTTCCCAGGCTATAGCAGGGAGTTGGATCAGAAGTAGAATAGAAGTAGAGCAGCCAGGACTTGAACTGGTGCCCATATGGGATGCCAGCACTGCAGGTGGCGGCTTTACCTGCTGTGCCGCAGTGCCGGCCCCAGCATACTCACTTTTAAAATGGGGTGACGCTAACACCCAGCACTGCCTGCCTCACAAGGTTACCCTGACAGTTACTCCAAGAGGACCAAGGGAAGGGCTGTGAAAGTCACACACAGTGCCCTGAAGGAACCATTATCCCAGCAAGCCCTGCCTTCCCTCCTCACTCTGCCCCTCTGGTTGGTTAACTTCTGGGTTCTCGGATCAAAGCCCAGAGCAGATGCCTTCCCAAGAAGAGAGAGACGGAGAGACTTCTGCTCCCAGGGGAGGCAGGCACCTGGGACCTTCTCCCCACCCCAGGGTCCACCGACATCTAGTGGGTCTGCCCCGAAGGCTCTCGGAACGGGCGCTCAGCCAGGTTTAGGCCATGAAGGCCTCCCCCTGCTGTGCGCTGGGAGCCCGCCCTCCCCTCTCAGCAGCTGTTCCTTGCAAATGTGCGGGCGTTTTCATACACCCGATGGCTGGGGCCTCTCTGCAGCCCTGGCCCAGGCCTCGCAGCAAGGACACAAGGCTACCGCGCCCAGCCTCCTCCGCTCCTTGACACTTCTCACAAATGCCTTCGGGCTGAAGTCCAGCGGCATCTTGACAGTGAGGGGAGTTTCGTGCAGGAACTGCCCCTGCTGAGGGCTGCCCACTCGCCCTGCTTTGCTGGGGACCTCCTGGTCCAAATCCCAGGCCCTGGAAACTCCTCCAGGGCGTTGGTCACCTGCTCTCTTGTCTTTTTTTTTTTTTTCTTTTTTCTTTTTTAAGATTTATTTATTTATTTGCAAGTCAGAGTAACACAGAGAGAGGAGAGGCAGAGAGAGAGAGAAGTCTTCCATCCCATTGTTCACTTCCCAATTGGCCACAATGGCCGGAGCTGTGCCGATCCGGAGCCAGGAGCCAGGAGCCTCCTCCGGGTCTCCCACGTGGGCACAGGGGCCCAAGGACTTGGGCCATCCTCTGCTTTCCCAGGCCACAGCAGAGAGCTGGAATGGAAGTGGAGCAGTCGAACCTGTGCCCATATGGGATGCCAGTGCTTCAGGCCAGGGCGTCAACCCTCTGTGCCACAGCGCCAGCCTCATGCTCTCTTGTCTAAACGAAAGGATCTATGCCTGTGCCATGACATAGGAGGTTAAGCTGCCACCTGTGGTGCCTGCATCCCATATGGGCGCCAATTGGAGTCCCAGCTGCTCTCCTTCTGATCCAGCTCCCTGCTAATGGCCTGGGAAAGCAGCGGAGGGTGGCCCAAGCAGGGGCTTGGGCCCCTGCACCCATGTGGGAGACCTGGAAAAAGCTCCTGGCTCCTGGCTGTTGCAGTCATTTGGAAAGGGAATCAGCAGATGAGAGATTCTCTCTCTCTCTCTCTCTCTCTCTGTCCGTCTCTCTCTCTGTAACTCTGCCCTGCAAATAAATAAGTAAATCTTTAAAAATAAAATAAACTCAAGGATCCAATGGCATTTGAGGAATGCTGGGCCCGTGGAAGGTGCCTATGGGAGAAACTGAGAAATCTGGTAGCACCTGGGCCAGCTGGGGCCCGTAGAACTCCAGGTTGGCTGAGGCTCCCTGGAGACCACATAGACAAGGAGAAATGGATGCACTTGCATGAACAGTGACGTTGGGTTCAAGAAAAACCACAGGCAGGAAATCCCCCAGGGAGTAGTGGGTGGAGGACGGTGGAGAAGCCAGTGCTGGCCTCGGAATGTCTCAAGCCAATGGCTCGTCCGAGTAAGCTGGGCAAAAATGGGGCATTTAAGACCTCGCTCTCCTTCCTGTCAGAGCACAGGCACTCTCTGCCCTCTCTCACCTCTCCAGCCCATCAGCTCCGTCTGGCTAGAAGGTTCTCTGTCCACTCAGCCCTGGCTTCTCTCTTGAAGCTCCCCCTCCCCACAGCTCTCCAGGGAAGCTCCGAAGTTTTCTGCACAAACTCACTCCTTGTTTAATGGCAATGGAGACCATGGAGTGGTGACCTCTGGGGCCTCTCGGGGCCACCTCCCCAACCTCCCACCCCCGAGTTCTGGAGCTAGTTGAGAACAATGAGCATGGGTGTTAGATCCACCTGGAGTTTGAATCCCGGCTCTGTCATTGCCTTAACTGTGTGCCCGGAGGCAAGTTGCTCAGCCTCTCTGAGTCTCTGTAGGCGCTGATGGATGGTAATCCCTCTTTCGCAGGGGTGTCATGAGGCTTAAGAGAGAGCCTGCAAACAGAGCCCAGAAGACAATGAACAATGGCAGGTTGTGGCTACTGCTGTCTGGAACAAAGCCTTTGTCCAAGAAGCACAGCCGTGTGGAGCTTGGGTAAGTGGGCACTGTCCGCTTAGAGCCCCTGTGGTCAGAGCCCTGTGCAGGGGGACCCGTGAGAGAGCCTGGCTCAGACCGCCACCTCATTGTATCTGTTGTCTACGTCGGACTTTGGGTCTAGCCCAGCCCTACCCAATGGAACTTTCTGTGATGGAGAAAGTGGTCTACAGCTGCACCAAACCACCCAGGACCACCAGTCACGTGTGACTGCTCAGCGCTGGAAATGTGGCTAGCAAGACGAAAGAACTGAGTTTTAGATTTTTGCTCAGTTCTGACTAATTTAAATGTAGGTGTCAGTAGCTGCACGCCGCGTGGCTAATGGCTCCCACATTGGGCAGCATGGGGCACTGACCCCTGTTTCACAAGCAGGAAATGGTAGAGACAGAGTAGCACAGTAAGATGCCCAAGGTCACGGAGCTAGGGACAGGAACAGAGCCGAGGCCCCCTGCCTCCTCGTGGAGCTGCGTCTGCTCCAGACCGTGACCGACCGAGTGTCAGCTGGGGGAAGGACAGGAGAAGGCAGTAAACAAAGAGCAGGTTGGAGCAAACGCTCCGGAGCCCCCGCAGGGCTTGGCACCACGGCCTGCACTGCTCCTTGTGGTGTCCTTGGAGCCGGGCAGGAGGAAGGGGACCTCTTCTGTGGCAGCCACAATCCTGCTGACCCCTGCCCCAACCAGCACACGGCTTTCCCTGCCCTGGCTCCAACAGGAAAGACAGCATTATGGGGAGGTCAAGGCCATCTCCACAGCTCGCACACACATTCCACCGGCTCCCTCCCTTGGCCTGCCCACCCGGAGGTACCCAGGTGGAGGATCAAATTAATCCCCTTCTTTATCCGGAGGCTGGCACTCAAATCTCCACCCACCCAGGGAGAGTGGGCACGGTCACCGTGAGGCTGAGTGACGGCCAAGCCCTCCGGAGAAGGGGTGCTGCGGCAGAGAGCCCTGGCACCTCTCTCCGGCCATCTGTTCCCGACCCAACCCCCGTGAGCGCGCCTTGCAACGGCGGACACGCAGGTGCTGGGAGAGGCTGCCACAGGCGCCCGGAGACCAGGTGGGACCCATTGTCAGCCCTTTTCTGTGGCGTCCCCTTCCCCTCCCGCGCTTGTCTCTCTGCCCCACTGCCCCCTCCCCCTTCCCTCTGCTTCTCTTGCAGTAATGTTTTTATCAAAGAGTAGCGTATACCCAGAGAAGGACACAAGCCAGATCTGCATAACTTGGGGACTCTTCACAACGTGAACCTGCTTATATCAGTGGCACAAAGAGCAGTGACAGAACACGGCTCTGCATCCTGGAATGTCCCCTTTCCTGTCCCATCTCAGGCTGGTGCCCCCCACCCCCCATGCCTGCCTTCTCTCGACATAAAGTGACCTGGTCTGTCGCTAACTTGTCGACTCCTGTCACTCAGCGTGGTGTTGGTGAGGTCCAGCACGTGTTCAGTCACTGATGGATATTGGAGACTTTTCGGTGTGTGGGAGAATGCGAATGGCACATCCCGTCACACTCTCGTGGTGGGCTTTGGTAAGCGTATGTCATCTTTGGGGCGTGTGTCTGAGAGTGGGTGGCTGGTCTGGCCCTGGACTCCGCCAACGTTTGGCTTCGGTGGGTCCCGCCAACAGTCACACGAGTCCCCTGGTGCGAGGAGAGATCCAGGAACCCTGCCCTCACCCGCTCTTGGTAGCGTCAGAGGAGACACATGAGCCGTTCTCTCTGTGGGCGCTGTGTTTTACAGTTGCATTTCCCTGGCAACTGGCGAGGTTGAACAGTTTTCCGTGTGTTTTTGCCATCTGAATAGCTCCTTTTGAGAAGTTCTTGTGTGAGCCTTTTGCTTTTTTTTTTTTTTCCCTGTTGTGCTGTCTGCCTTTTGCTTACTGGTTTGCAGGAGTTCCTCTATATTCCAAGATCTATGTGTGTACGTGAGTGTGTGCATGTGTGCATACATGCACATATGTGAGTATACCACCAAACATCTTCCTTCTCCCAGTCAGTGGCTTGTCTGTTTACTCTCTGCAAGGTGTTTTGTGCTGCTCAAAAAAATCTTTGATTTTTATTTTTTATTTATTTGACAGATAGAGATAGACAGTGAGAGAGAGAGACAGAGAGAAAGGTCTTCCTTCTGTTGGATCACTCCCCAAATGGCTGCTACGGCCGGCTCTGCGCTGATCTGAAGCCAGGAGCCAGGTGCTTCTTCCTGGTCTCCCATGCAGGTGCAGGGCCCAAGCACTTGGGCCATCCTCCACTGCCCTCCCGGGCCACAGCAGAGAGCTGGACTGGAAGAGGAGCAACCGGGACTAGAACCCAGCGCCCATATGGGATGCCGGTGCTGCAGGTGGAGGATTAACCAAGTGAGCCACGGCGCCGGCCCCTCAAAAATTCTTAATGATAATCCAATCCAACCGACCAATTACTTTCCTTTAGAGGGAAGTATTTTTGTATCTTAATTAAGAAATACTTATTTCAAGGTCATGAAACTTTTTTTGGCTAAAAGTATTATTTACTTTTCACATTTTGATGTTTGTGTGTGGTACGAATTAAGGGTCAAATTTTTGTATGTTCTGTGATCTAAGGGGCAGAGCTTAGTTTTTCTCCATGGATGTGCAGTTGATTGACCCCAGCTACTGAAGATGATCCCTGGGGCTGGCATTGTGGAGCAGCAGTTTAAGCTGCTGCTCGGGACGCCTGCATCCCATGTTGCAGTGCCAGGATGAATCCCAGCTCCCCGCTCCTGATACAGCCTCCTGGGAAGTCAGGGGATGATGGCCCAAGTGTTCGGGTCCCTGTCTCCCACATGGGTGCAGGAGCCCAAGTACTTGGATCATCCTCCTCTGCTTTCCAAGGCAACCAGCAGGGAATGAGATTGGGAATGGAGCAGCCAGGACTCAACCGGCACCCACGTGGGATGCCAAGATCACGAGTGGCAGCTTAACCCGCCACGCCACGCGCCGGCCCCCAGCCCATCTATCTTAATGAGGGTCAGCAACAGCTGTTGATACTGGCCATAAACATCTTCGAACTTTCTTCTTCTTGGCTCTTTGCATTTTTGCATGAGTTGTAGAATCAGTTTCTCAAATTCTGCATCCCCAATATCATCTGCTTGTTTATTTATTAATATTAAATGGACTGTATATATCAGTTGGGAATAAATAACATATTTACAGTATTGAGTCTTGTAATCCATGAACCAGACATTCTTATATGTGTCAGTTTCTGTGGGTCTTCATTCACTTCTCACAAGGCTGACTTGTACTTGTGTTCTGTGTAGAGGTCTCAGCTATCTTTCATTATTTTTTTTAATTTATTTATTTTACTTGAATGTCAGAGTTACACACAGAGAGAAGGAGAGGCAGAGAGAGAGAGAGAGAGAGAGAGAGAGAGGTCTTCATCCGCTGGTTCACTCCCCAGATGGCAGCAACGGCTAGAGCTGCTCTGATCCGAAGCCAGGAGCCAGGAGCTTCTTCTGGGTCTCCCACGTGGGTGCAGGGGCCCGAGGACTTGGGCCATCTTCTACTGCTTTCCCAGGCCATAGCAGAGAGCTGGATCAGAAGTGGAGCAGCCAGGTCTAGAACTGGCGCCCATATGGGATGCCGGCGCTTCAGGCCAGGGCTTTAACCCGCTATGCCACAGTGCCGGCCCCAGAAAGCTTTCAATATTTCACATTCCCTAAGATGTTTACTGTGGGTTTTTGCAAAGACTATATCAGATTGAAAGATCTATCTTTCTATACTCTTCCATTCCTAATTTCCTTTTAGTGCTTTGATGAATGTATCATTTTATCTAGGGCTGGCACTGTGGAATAGCAGATTAAGCTGCTGTCCGCAGTGCCAGCAGACCATATGGGCACCAATTAGAGTCCCAGCTGCTCCACTTCTGGTCCAGCTCTCTGCTGTGGCCTGGGAAAGCAGTGGAAGATGGCCCAAATGCTTGGGCCCCTGCACCTACATGGGAGACCCAGAGGAAGCTCCTGGCTCCTGGCTTTAGCTGGCCCCAGCCCTGGCCGTTGTGTCCATTTGGGGAATGAACCAGCAGATGGAAGACCTTGCTATCTGACTCTCCCTCTCTCTCTCTTATATATCACTGCATTTTGTGTGCTAATATTTTCCTAAGGGGTTTTGCATCATTATTCATATAAGCAATTCATTAGTAATTCTCTCCTATGATGTCCTTATTAGGTTTTTTTTAAAAAGATTTTATTTATTTGAAAGGAAAAATTACAGAGAGGCAGAGAGAGAGAGAGAGAGAGAGAGAGAGAGAGAGAGAGAGAGAAATCTATCCACTGGTTTACTCCCCATTTGGCCACAATGGCCAGAGCTGTGCCGATCCAAATCCAGGAACCAAGAGCTTCCTCCGGGTCTCCCACATGGATGCAGGGGCCAAAGGACTTGGGCCATCTTCTACTGCTTTCCCAGGCCATAGCAGAGAGCTGGATCAGAAGTGGAGCAGGTGGGACTAGAACTGGCGCCCATATGAGATGCCGGCACTGCAGGTGGCGGCTTTACCCGCTACACCACAGCGCCAGCCCCTCCCAGACTTCTTTATCTGAATGATTTTATTCTCCTATCCATCCTTTTAAACTTTACTTACTTACTTACTTTTTTGCTTACTTGAGAAGAGAGAGGCAGAGAGCATGCCCATCCCCTGGTTCACGCCCCAAATGCCTGCAATGGCCAGGGCCAGGCCAGGCTGACGCCAGGAGTCAGGAACCAGGAGCTTCATCCAGGCCTCCCGCATGGGTGGCAGGAGCCCAGCTTCTTGAGTTGACGTGTGCTGCCTCTCAGGGTCTGCGTTAGCAGGAAGCTGGGGTCAGGAGTGGAGTTTGGTATTGAACCCAGCTATGCCAGGGTAGGGATGCTGGCAGTTTAACCACCAGGCCTCTCATTGTCATCTTTGAAAAATGCCTTTGGGCTGGCACTGTGGCTCACTTGGCTAATCCTCCACCTGCGGCGCCAGCACCCCAGGTTCTAGTCCCGGTTGCCCCTCTTCCAGTCCAGCTCTCTGCTGTGGCCCGGGAGGGCAGTGGAGGATGGCCCAGGTGCTTGGGCACTGCACCTGCATGGGAGATCAGGAGGAAGCACCTGGCTCCTGGCTTTGGATCGCCGCGTAGCGCCAGCCATGGCGGCCATTAGGGGAGTGAACCAACAGAAGGAAGACCTTTCTCTCTGTCTCTCTCTCTCTCTCTCACTGTCTAACTCTGACCGTCAAAAAAGAAAAAAGAAAAGAAAAAAAATGCCTTTGCTGGGTTCAGGACTCTGGGTTGGCAGAACTAAAGGCCAGTCCCCCTCCCTCCCCCAGGCAGGTGTTCGCCCGCTGCTGTCGTCTTCACAAGCCTGCTGCCAGTCAATGTTCTCGAACATCATCTGTCTGTTCTCTCTGGCTGCTCTATGATGGTCTCCTTGCCTTTGCTGTGCACCTGGCGTCGGGATTGGAGGCGACTTTCAACCTTCAGTGTTGTAGGCCGTGATTTCTCTACATGTCCCATTTGACTTGCTATTTCACTACTGCCCAGAATGATCAATATCTTTCCAAGTCCTTTAAAAAAAAATTCTTACATGGGAGAGTTTTATAAGCTTCAATCCTAAGAATGTACCATTCTACCTCAAGCCTCTGAAACCACAAGTTTTTTTTTTTTTTTAATGCTTATTTATTTTATTTATTTGAGAGGTGGAGGGTGAGGGGAGGGAGAGATCTTCTATCCGCTGGTTCACTCCTCAAATGCACTCAGTAGCCTGGACTGGGGGCCTGGGACTCCACCTGAGTCGCCCACGTGGGTGGCAGGGATCCAGCTCCTTGCACCGTCTCCGTTGCCTTCCAGGGTGTGCGTGATTGGGAAACTGAACTGGAAGTGGAGCGAGACTGGAACCAGGACTGCGACATGCAGTGCAGGCGGCCCCTGTCTCTCTCTCTCTCTCTCTCTCCCCGCCCCCGCCACCTTTGGAGTAATCTACTGTTACTCTCAGTCTTGGCCGTCTCAGTTCTCAGATGTCTTTCGCAGATTGTGTGCGTCTGTCTTCCTGGGACCACTCAGTCAGGCCGGGAGTGCTCCGCGTCATTCTCCTCCTGGTGGCACTGAGCTGAGGACCCAGCTCCTTCCTTTGTCCGTGAAATAAGGACCCCACGGCCTCCTTCGCTGCGTTGCCCTGGGAGTTACAACTAGGCTAGTGTATGTAACAGGGTGGTACTGGGCAGACATTCGAGCCAGCTCTCCAGAAATGATGGGGTAATGATGTTGGTGAGGGTGTGGTTAAAGTCACTGCACCCCAACCCTTAGCATCCACAAATCACCAAACACCTGGAAGGGAAGACAGGCTGCAGGCTGCTGTCCCCGTGGTCCACAAGAGGCCTGCGTGAAGGTGGGAGGCACTGCGGGCTCAGCCTGCGCTTCCCAGCCCAGGGTGTGCGCCAGGGCCAAGAACCCTTTTGGGTGCAACTTGTGGGCATGTGTAGGACAGCCCCATCATGGCCCGGGTCAGGCCCGGCCGGTGCCCCAGCAGACTCCCAGGAAGTCCTAGCTCCTCAGCCTGCCTGCTCCCCGGGAAAGGGAGGCAGGTCAGGTGGGACAGCTTGGAGAAACAGTCTTTAACTTGGACATTTATCAGTGGTTCTTCACCCTGGCCACACGTTTTAATCCCTTGGGGAGCTTCAGCCATTGCTGTCCCAGGGCCTTGAGGATGGTTTTTGGGCTCCCAGGGTGATTTGATTGAGCATCCAGGGTTAAGACAGCCAGTCGCGGTCTCCGTAGTCAGTCAAGGGTGCAGCCGCCACCCAGCCTTCGTCTCCCACAGAGAGAATGAGGCCCTGCTTTCCCGCCCAGCCCGTGGCCTGGCACAACACAGCACAGCATGGCAGGGAGCCAGCACCTGAGCCCCAAAACAGGTCAAGCCAGGGGGAGGAGGCCAGGCCTGGGGCCCAGAGCTGCTGTCACTCCTGGCACACCCGCCGCCTGCCAGGCTCTGGGCGGACACTTATCTACATTGCACAGGTGGCATTACCCACACTCCGTGGCGATGACAGTCGGGCCCTCTTGGCCCGGGCCACATGGAAGGAAGTGACCCAGCCAGGAGCCATCCTGGAGCTGCCCGCCTGCGAGGCCTGCATGTCCCCTGAGTCCTTCCTGACCCCCTCCCTCCCAGGGGAGGGGCCCATCGGCAGAGAATCGGGGCTCTGCAGGAGGGGTGGGCGCAAAGGCTGCTCCTCTCCTCTCGGGGTCCCTGGCAGACAAGTGCCCGTGTCCTTGGTGCAGGAAACCCTGAGGCAGGATGGGAGCTTCCCCAACCTCTTCTCTGGGCCACACTCGTGAACAAATGTCCACATTGAAGACCCTGGCTACCCCCTGACACCAGGTGCTCCCTGTTGGAACAACCTGATGTTGACCTTCCTGAAAAGAGAGAATCGAGAGCTTGCAGCTTCCTGACTGGCAGGGAAGCAGCCCTGCAAATTGAGCAGCTGTCAGCCCAGGCGCCCAGGCAGGGACTCTGTCCCAAGGCCAGGTTAAGGCTCCGACGTGGGTTCAGCTCAAGTTAGCATCATGTTTGCTTTTTCTTTAATTTTTAACGAAGATGTATTTTGTTTATTTGAAAGGCAGAGTTACAGAGAGAGAGAGAGAGACAGAGAGATCTTCCACTCACTGGCTACAACAGCCAAGGCTGGGCCAGGCTCAAGACAAGAGCTGGGAGCTTCATCTGGGTCTCCCATGTGGGGGCAGGGGTCAAGCACTGGTGCGTCCTTCACTGCTTTCCCAGGTGCACGAGCAGGGAGCTGGATTGGAGGTGAATCTGCTGAGACTTCAACGGCGCCCACATGGGAGGCTGGCGCAGTGGGAAACGGCTTGTTTGCACCGCAAAGCCGTCTCCTCTTTAATTTATTTTTCATTTTTTTATATTATTTTTTAAATATTTATTTATTTATTTGAAAGTCAGAGTTACACAGAGAGAGGAGAGGCAGAAAGAGAGAGGTCTTCCATCCGATGGTTCACTCCCCAGTTGGCCGCAACGGCAGGAGCTTATGCCCATCCAAAGCCAGGAGCTTCTTCAGGGTCTTCCATGCAGCTGCAGGGGCCCAAGGACTTGGACCATCTTCTGCTGCTATCCCAGGCCATAGCAGAGAGCTGGATCAGAAGTGGAGTAGCCGGGACTCGAACCGGTGCCTGTATGGGATGCTGGCGCTTCAG